GTTTGTAGAAATTTCTTAGCACCTTATCCCTAGGAGCATAGATAAGGTAGCTCACTTTCTTCTTGGGTGACTAAAATGAGTAGCTTGACTCTACAGATTGATTTTACTGCAACACATACCTGTTTGCTTCTCTAAATCAGGTGTTAGATAAGGCAACATTGAATGATAGAGGCTACCAGAGGTTTTTTTCTAGAATCATGTTATCTTAGAGTCAGAAGGAACCTTTGTCATCTACTAATTTTGTACAAAGGCCAAGAATCCCATTATATGTCAGTTGACCGACCGTGCAATTTTTTTGAGAATGAACGGGGTGGAGAAAACGCTAAATTGAATGGGGCTGTGACACAACAGGTGTAAAGTGGGACAGTCCTGGGGAAAACAGCTGTATGGTCATCCTAGTTATAAAACAGTCTTGCCAGATAGTCAGTCATCCAAAATCTGAAAGGATTTGTTGCCCCACAGAAAACCTAGTACTCTAAAAATTAAAAAGTTCTAACTAAAAATTAAAAAATTTTTTAATTGAGCTAAAATTTATCTCCTTGCAACTACTAACTCTTTTTCCCAGTTTTGCCCTTTGGTAATAAATGTAGTCAGAATATGGCAGTATACAACATATATTAGTTCTTTAGAAACTTTTTAAAATAAACAACTTTAGAGATAGCTCGTTTTTTTACTTACCAAAAATCTTACAGTTCTGCCCTGTAGTTCAATTTCTGTGCCCAAACTGAAACAAAAGAAGAGAAAAGAAATGAGAAGAAAGGTGAAAAAAAGACCATACAACTGGCTAACCTACCAGGCCCTGGTACATGGCACTGTTCACTAAACAACACTTGATTGCACTTCCATAATTCTCATCTTGGTATGTTTAGAAAACATTCAGTGAGATCTCTAGCTTCTCAGAAATAAAGTTACTAGTTATTACATTAGTATTTTATCACCTTAAAATAGAATAAAGGGATATGTATAGGAGACACGCCAATTAAAGTAAAAGAAACAATAGTTTATACACAGGAAGGCTAGACCTCCAGCTAGCTAATCATTATGATTACAGTTTCCTTATCATTAAAAATACTTAATATACATCTATAAAAACTAGCGATAGATAAATACGTTTAACAAAGCCCTCTTGTCATCCTTTTACCCTTCGGACTAAAAAACTGTGGTTTAGTGTGCAACTTTTCATCACCCTGGTCACTAGATTAAAGATATTTTAATTTTCACGTGCTATTGCCCACATTTTTTTCCAGGAGGCTCATAAATAGGACAAGCTGGGAGGATAACTTTTTTTTTTTTTTGGCTTGCGGGATCCTAGTTCCCCAACCAGGGATCGAACCCTGCTCCCTCTGCAGTGAAACCGCCAGGGAATTCCCTGGGAAGATAACTTTTGAGGTGATGTGTGGATGGGACACAGAGCCTGGTTCATTACTGAATATATGTAGGTCCCACCCCACTCCTCCCCCACCCTTTTTTCTTGCTGTTTAGGTAATTGTTATAGAATGTAAAATAGAACCATTTAACAACATAGCAGCATGATTAAGGAAAAATTTCTACAAATTGGCATTGTCTAATTTGATAAACATGTAACTTAATTTGAACCCTTGTAAGAACTTAGTTAAAAGGTAATCAAATGTCGAAAAAATTAAACAATCTAAGAAAATGGAAATTTTTTCCCCTGCATCGGCAGGTGGACTCTCAACCACTGCACCACCAGGGAAGCCCAAAATGGAAATTTTTATTCGAGCCAGTCTAAGGATTATAAACCGGGAGACAGTCTTTCAGAGAGCTCCTAGGGCTGTTCTGCTGGTTAGAGGTCAAAACACAGTTAGTTATATAAGTTTTTGAGACAAAGTAACATATTGACAGTTTACATAGTGCAACAAGGTGAGTAGTGGGGTCATTGTGACTCTTTACAGAATTGAGAAAGGAATGTTATCTCCTAAGGAGTTACCTTGCTGGCACCAGATGGAAATTAATTTTTTTCAGTGAGGAGGCATTCCTGCGTCTTCTAAGGGGATCTAGTTAATGTATAGTGCAGATGTGCAATGCACACTAAAGGGGAGGGGGTAGTGCCTCAAATGGCAGAAAAATTTTTATGTTAAAATTTTTCTTGTCCTTCCTTAAAAGTAATTTTGTCTCATCACACAGTAGGTTAATTTATGGAGACACCAAAGATATCAAAATACAGTGTTGCGTTTAAAGTAAATTGGAAGTTCTATGCTACAGTGGGTAGAGATTGTTGACTGAGTTATTGGGTTTTATGGTTAACACAGAGCAACTGTTCACTGTAATATATATATATATATATATATATATATATATAGGGTTTTTTTTTGGCTGTGCTGTGTGGCATGCCCGGATCTTAGTTCCCCGATCAGGGATCGAACCTGTACCCCTGCATTGGGAGTGCGGAGTCTTAACCACTGGGCTGTCAGGGAAGTCCCCTATGTTATAATTTTGTAAAAATAAAACTGGAGGTATTAGGTAAGGCAGTTGAAATAAATTGGTGTGTTTTATAAGTTCCAAAGCTTTACTTCTGAGATCATATGTAAAAGTATCTGTAGTTATTCTTTTTATTGTAGTTATTTGAATATATTTTGACAGGTTTAAGAAGAGAGTTGGTCATTCTGGGGAGCATATTTGTATATTTGATGTGGTAGGGGGTGTTTCTTGTGAGGAACTAGAGGAGAGTTGTTTGTCATGTAGGATTTTCTCTTTAGTACATTTCATCTACATTTGCAGTATTAATAGTAGATATGGAAAAGTGGCTTCCTCTTTTTTGACACCTTCATTATTATTTGTTTAGTAATATTAATTACTATATATACTAAATATACTAATATATTGTAAATTACTAAGTATTTATCTGTACTTTATTTGCCTTAACTTGTTCATCTGACATTTTTGCTCTTAAAAGTGTTGTCAAAGATGACTACATTGGGAATTCTCCTGGGTACGGGAAACAGAAGATGCTTTATGACACCAGGGCAGAGTGTTGCTAGTCAAGAGGGTGCTCATTTAGTGCCTACTTGGAAAAGTGCTGCAAGTAAATAAATGTAAAAGCTCATACAGAGTTGACTTTATGCTTATTTGAGCTTAGAATTCAGCTTCTGTGAGTGGATGCTATTGTATAAACTTTGGTGCTGTTGACTGAAGAAAAACGCATAACCTAAAAATTGCGAGTTATGTTTTATTTGAGGACCGTACTGAGGATTATAGCCCCAGAGACAGCCTCTCAGCTCTGAGGTGCTGTTGCAAAGAGGACAGCGAGGAGCCGGGGTGCACTGGAGTTCTTGCTGGGGTGGTGGGGGAGAGTAGGGCATGAGAAGATTACCGCTGATCACACGAAACAGACATCTTAAGTTAATGATTTCAGGGCTTTTCTGTGTATGCGGAGATGCAAGAGTCTGGGCTTACTGAAATTGTTCTTTAGATATGCTTCTTGACTATCTAGGGCCAGTATCCTGTTTCTCTCGATCCTGAGTTCCCCTCAGGGTGCACTGTGTGGGGTTGGCTGCAGTGGCTGATAATTTGATGGTGGGCAACACTCATTGTTTACTGGAATGGCAGGCAACATTTTTTGTCCATAGTGTTATGGACAAAGTTGTCTTCTTAAACTTGAGATGATTTTAGGTTTGTTTATACTGTTTTGTTAAAAGTTACAATACCTTTATGAACTCCCAAAAGTGTTTTGCTAGTGTAATCGCTTACCAAGACACATGCAGACAGCAGTGAAGTAAATTGACCTCCTGTTTTACTTGGCATATTTAAAAAAATTCTTTAGAGGCAAGTGAGTGACTACTTATTGGACTGACAGAGTACCACATAATTTCTGCTTTTGAGTTTATAAAATAAAGTATATTAAATAAAAGGGAAGAAGGGTGGAACTAGTATTTGTTAAATGCCTTCTGTGTGTTAGGCATTATGCCGGATGATTTTCAAATATTATTTTACAATTCTGTGAGGATTTTGGTTGCATTCAGAACTTACATATGGAGACACTGAGGTACAGAGAAAATAAGTTTATCGAAGCTCCTAGAAAGTGGAGTAATAATTCGCCTATTCTTTCTAAAATCCAAAAATGCATTATATCACAACACACAGATTTGCTCTGTGACAAAATTTCTTTCCCTCCCTCCCTCCCCTCCCTCCCTCCCTCCCTCCCTCCCTTCCTTCCTTCCTTCCTTCCTTCCTCCCTTCCATATAAATGAAGTAAGAGGTGTGCAGCCACACTGCTTGGGTGTGATTCGTGGCTTTACCCTTCCTAGCTGTTGTGATGTTTGGCAAGTTACTCTAAGTCTCTACACGTCCAGGGTGGTTTGGGCTTGGTTTTTTTCTTCTTTTTTTCTTTTAATCTGTCAAATGGGGATAACAGTTTAATAGTCTCTATCTTACAGGTTTGTTGTGAGGATTGAATGAGTTAAGTGATAAAGATCTCAATATAGTATCTAGCATTTCTTGAACTTTCAATAAATTTGTTGTAATGACGTTTTTCAGAATTTTATGTGCACACTGACTTATTTTGCTTTATTAGTAATTCTTTTGGTACTTGGGAAAACCTCCTCAGAGTATTCCACGTTTTTGGAATGTATATATATTGTTATTCTATTTCATTAATTCATTTTACATTTCTAGTTATTTTAGATACTAGTGTAATAGATATGGTATTGTGGTTGTATTAGAAGTTTTCTTTGCAGTACACAGTGATTGATGCGTGGTAGACAATATTTATTGTAGGACTGAAAGAACTTGAATCTATTTGTAATCATGACTTTTTTCCTCTATAAATCCTAACAATTTGAACTTCATCCTTATTGTAAAGAAACTATAAAAATTCTAAACTTCTTAATGACTGATTATGTCTCTTAAAAATTTTGTTCATCTTTTTAAATGCTATTTTACCTTGTTTTTAGCTAAAAAATGACTCTTTGCCTGAAACGATCTTTAAAAATTTTTTTTAATTTGATTCACATTAATGTTTTCATTTTCCTTTGTTCTCTTAGCTTCACAATGAAGAGGATAATTCAGAATCATCTGCTGTAGAGCAGCCGTCAACTTCAAACGCAACACCACAAAATGTGCAGGCTGCTCCCTCAGCATCTGGACTTGAGACTGACTCTTCTCCTCCACCTTATAGCAGTATTACTGTGGAAGTACCTACAACTTCAGGTATTGTTGTTTTTAGTGTGAAACAACTAGTAATGTTTTTTGTTTTTTTTGTGGTACGCGGGCCTCCCACTGCTGTGGCCTCTCCCGTTGCGGAGCACAGTCTTCGGACGCGCAGGCCCAGCGGCCACGGCTCACGGGCCCAGCCGCTCCGCGGCATGTGGGATCCTCCCGGACCGGGGCACGAACCCATGTGCCCTGCATCGGCGGGCGGACTCTCAACCACTGCACCACCAGGGAAGCCCTAGTAATGTTTTTAATAGCTCGATTTTTTGTTTTGTTTTTACCAGTATGGTTTTGTGTAATTATCAAGTCTGTTAATGGGCTTCTTCGGTTTTATGATTATTTTTAAAAAAGTTTTTCTAAAGATAGTTTATAAAATATTTCATAGATTACCTGTCTCATTGTTTTAAAAATTAATTTAAAAGTGTAGCTTGTTAAACTTTCTTATGCTTACTAGAATCCCTTCCCAGTGGATTAGCCATATAGCTTTTGGAAGAAATAACCATATATACATATATATTCATGCACACATATAATGCATACACACATGAATATATAAACATACCCATGTGTGTGTGTGTGTTTACTTATATAGTCATAAACAAGGTATTATTAATGATGAATGTGAGAATGTGGTAAGTACATGTGAATGGAGGTGAAGCATACACATAATGTCCCCCCTACTCATGGTAATATTTCCTGGATACAAGGCAGTGATTACTGCTTGCTACTGTTCATCTCATCCTTGCAGGTCATTCTCAAGAACTACGCTCATCTGTTTCTCTGGTCACAATTTGTATTTTCCCAGTAATGCTAAGTTAATCATTCTATGATGGAAGATGCTGAGAGTGAAATTGCAATCCCTTTGTTGTGGCTACTGTTGCTATTGCTGTTTAACAGACTACCTCAAACGTAATGGAGTAAAATAACAATCATTTATGCTTGTTAATTCTCATGGTTTGGGGGGAACTGGGCTTCTTTATGAAGTTCTCTGCTAGGGTCTCAGGTGATTGTTGTCTGATGGTGACTCTGGGACTGGAGGTAATTGCAGGCTTCCTTATTCACACGTTTGCTGGCTGATGCTAGGGCCTCAGCTGAGGCTGTTGGCCAGAACAACTATATGTGACCTCTTGTTGTGGCCTGGGCTCTTCACTGAATGGAGGCTGGCTTCTAAGAACAAGCATTCTGAGAGAAAGCCAAATGGAATCCGTGACATTGCCTCAAAAGTCACAGTGTCACATCTGTCACATTCAGGCTGTTAGAAGTGAGTCACTTAGTCTCTATTCAAGATTATTGAGGAATTAGTCTCCACCTCTTCATGGGAAGAGTTTCAGAGAGTATCACCACCACAACTGTATACAGCCTCTTCCCTCTACCGCCCTCTAGAGCTTCTCCTTTGACAGTCTTCCCCATTTCAATAAATGGCTCCAGCAGGCCAGAAACCTGGGAGTCATCTTTTTGGTACCTTATTGTAAAATTACATGGTTTTTCTCCTTCAATTTTTGTTGTAATGAAATGTATTATTAACAGATTTCTTCTTTAAGCTAATCCATCCCTATATTCTTAGAATAAATTCTTTTTGTCATCATGTTCTAGTCTTTCCTGGATTTAAATTTGTTAATATTTTATTTAGAGTTTTTGTGGCTTTATTAGTGTGATCTATGACTTTATGTGCTGTCTTTTTGGTTTGGGTATTAATATTATGGAAGCAACATAAAGTGAATTGAGAAGCTTCTCATTTTTCTATGATCTGGAATAGTTTTGATAATGTAGCATGACATTTTTAAAGGTTAGATAAATTTCAACTGTGAAACAAGTGGAGCCTGGTACCTAGAAGTTCAGTTATTCTCACAGTCTCCTCTGTGATTTCTGGTCTTTTAAATTTTTTCACCTGTGCTAAAAGGCCATTCCTGACTATAATTGAGCACAGGAACTGAATAATTCTAGAATTTGGGGTTTCTGTTTAATGAAAACTGTTGATATTATTTTTCTTCAGCTTCTTAGTCAGTGTTGTTATATTTTAGGCATGGGCAGTGCCCGTTTTCTGTGGAGATTATGTTCTTCAGTAGGTCACCTTATGGCTGCTTTTATAGATCTGAGCAACGTCAGTTATAAAAGGTGACATTTGCATAGTGTTGCACAGTTCACAGAGTCCTCTTGAATACTCTTCTATTTCGTCCCATAATAGCAAGTAATAGCCTCGCTGGGTCAGTTTTATGGATGAGAAAGTGGAACTTCACAGTGCTTAAGTGATTTGCTTGAGGTCACATAACTTCTAAGAAGAGGAGCTGGGATTGGAGCTCCCCAGACTTTAAATTCTGTGGTTGAGAACCAACCACTGCCTCAAAGGGTAGAAGAAAAGTAAGTAAAATTAACAAGTGAAAATTAAAGGTGCTCCTTCCCAACTTTCACCTGTTATTGGTGGAGATATTTTTTCTATCTTGGGTCTTAAAATTTTTCAGAAACTTACACATCTATTTTTAATGTAAGGATCTCATCTCCTTGGATATATATATATATATGCCATTGTTCCAGTTTTAAAAATGTATAGTTTTAATGTTATTGCTTAAATTCATAATCATGGTTTTTACTTAAATTTTGCTTCCACTCCCATCTTCAGAATTAAAGAAATCTATTTACTTGACGGTATATGGTGTTTTTACATCCTAATAATAAGTCTTTTCTAAGAATTTATGGCTCTTGTGACTTTTGGTGGATAACATTCAGTATTATACTCCCACTAACCACTTCCTGTTATTAGATTGAAAATTGCCTAACTTCAGATCCTTAGCTCTTATTGATAGCATTAAAAATACTTATTTTAAAACCTATGTACAAAAAAAACCACCTATGTATATTAAAACACAACAGGAAAAATATTGCTGGAGTGCAGTGTTTTTTCATGTGGAAAATGCAAGAAAATCTGATAAAGATAGGTAAAATTGTAAACAATGTGGAAGACGTAAAAATGCTGTAGTTATGATAGAGGAAACTACAGAGGTGATGTCAAACGTTGTGGTGTGTACTACTTTTAGAATCTGCCTGTTTTTTATGTCAGTGATTCTAGCGTAAGTCTAATCAATTGATTGACCTGTGTGTATGATTTTACTTATACCAAAGTTGGCAATAAATGATGCAGTTTTTTTAAAAAATTAGCAGTCTATATTTAATACTTCTGGAGATCATATTTCAAAAATAGCTTAAAAATTGGGGAGGGAGAAATTCTTCTAAAAAAGAAAACCTAAAGAACTAGGTAGATGGGGGGAAAATGGAAGAAGGGACAAGAGTAAAAAAAAGAGTTAAAAATCATCAATCTTTTAGCAAAGAGAAATACTGAGTTTTCTTAGGAGTTGTTAAAATTGACCTGTGTAGAAAAATTAACGTCTTATATATTATCAAGTAAATATGAGAATAAATAAATAATAAAGTATTTGGAGTCAGGAAATCCCTGGCTTCTGCCACTTCTTGATTGTGTGATACTGGGCAAATCACTTAAGTGAACCTCAGAGTTGCTAAGGTTAATGTATTTAGCAGTGTTATAGTAAATGGCTAGTGCTGTTTCCGTGTTTGTTACCATTATTCCTGATATTTTTACTTTTTGTCTGTGAGATTATGGGCAAATAAAGTCTTTGAGCATAGCATTAGGAACATAGAGGATGCTCATATATGGTGAGGTGAGTTTACCTCCTTTGTGTTGCCCACATTTTCAGAGTCTCATTCTTGATGTTCTTGTTTGGTATATCAGCCATTAGATGACATTTGTCAGTTCTTTCTCTTGATAATAAATATAGGACTAAAATAATATATACGATGTAGTAGTAATTTATATGTTATATAGCTTATAACATAGGACTACAAATAGTGATAGTCTTTAGTGGCGTTCTGTAACTTATTAAATTATGTTCTGGCTATAAACGTAATATTAGTTTGTTTTAATGGTTATCTTTTTTAAAAATCCTTTTCTTCAGATACAGAAGTTTACAGTGAGTTTTATCCTGTGCCACCTCCTTACAGTGTTGCTACCTCTCTTCCTACGTATGATGAAGCTGAGAAGGCCAAAGCTGCTGCAATGGCAGCTGCAGCAGCAGAAACATCTCAAAGAGTAAGACAATGTTATCATTTCCTTCTGAGAATATTATTTGTGTTAATTGATATGTATATTCAGTAATATCAAAAGTAGTTCTTTGTGCTTGTAGTTTTTTTAGTATTTACTACTCCTTATTTGTGTCATCATTTTTTGGCACTCTCCTATTTAAATTTACCTTCTGCATTCCTTGACCTTCTCATTCGATTTCGATTTCTATTGGTCTTCTCCTGCACCCACCCTGGTCATCCTAGGTGGAATCTTTACCAATAATTTATCATTTCCTAAGTCTTGATTTCAGGCATATCATGCACTAACCTTCACCCCCCATACTTCTGACTCCCTCATTCAAGTTACCCCCACCCCGTTGACCTCTTCACTGTCAATGAAGTGTCTTCAATGTCCTTATTTCCCTTCTTATATAGTTTAGATTCTGTGGTCCATAACTATAATTATAGATCATTTTTTTCTATTCATTTTTTATATATTAGCATAGCCAGTTTCATGACTCTATGAATGAATTCAAGGTAGGTTAAAGACACAAAGAAGGAAGTTACCAGGCCTACAAAATTATGTTTGTCAATTCACTTTTTTTTTTTTTTGTCCTTTGAACACATGCCACCCTAGAATTTGGGAATGATGGTGAAAGATTCCACCGTCCTTTTTTCTCCCTCATCTCCCTGTCTTAGTAATAGAGTCAGTGATACACTATTTGTGTTATTTCCTGTTCTGGTAAAAGGAGTGGCTGTCTCAGTAATGGAGAATCAATGAGATGTATGTATGCTATTCTTCAGTCAGGTAAAAGGTAGAAATTATTTACATTTTAATGTGACTGCAAGCAGGACTAGAGTTTGTTACCTTTATTTCTTGCTTTAGTCTTTAGAGATGTCAGATTCTGGGTTAACCCCATTTTGTTCAGGAAAAAGACACAGAAATATCACGTGACACAGGAAAGCTAGAATTAGGTGAGGGGAAAAGGGAGAAGAAGGTGCTTGTATGTATAGCATTCTTGTTCTGCTGCCATCAGGCCAGAGCCCAGCACGTAGATTATTTGATGGGTAAGCGTTTTCCTGGACAGGTTTCTTTCATCAGCCACAACCCTCTTCAGACCTGCTCCCACTCACATCCTCCAACACACACAGAGTTAAACGTCATCATAAATAGTTTTGAGCACATAAGTAAAGGTAGTAAACCTCAAATTTATTATTGATTTTTAAAAAATTAATTAATTAATTAATTGTTTTATTTTTGGCTCTGTTGGGTCTTTGTTGCTGCTTGTGGGCTTCTCCCTAGTTGTGGCGAGCAGGGGCCCCTCTTCAGTGCAGTGTGCCAGCTTCTCTTGTTGCGGAGCACGTGTTCTAGACGTGCGGATTTCAGTAGTTGTGGCACACGGGCTCAGTAGTTGTGGCTCGCGGGCTCTAGAGCTCAGGCTCAGTAGTTGTGGTACGCAGGCTTAGTTGCTTCGCGGCATGTGGGATCTTCCTGGACCAGAGCTCGAACCCGTGTCTCCTCCATTGGCAGGCGGATTCTTAACCACTGCACCCCTGCACCAGGGAAGCCCCTATTATTGATTTCTTTTCCTTCTGAGGGGGAAGTAAGTTTCTGTTAAGACAGTGGCATAAATATAGCTCAGTCAATAAGGATTTTTGATGTTGGGAGGGGAGAATTATGGAGAAGGAGGATAGATCTATTAAGGTGTGGAGTTTTTATTAGTGCATGTGTGTTTGTACATGCATTATATTTACATGCACACACTCTCAGTGAAGTAGGACAGTAACTCCTTTTCTCAGGGAGTGTTTTTCTAGGGACTTTGGAAATGGTAAAGTTCCTTAAAGGATGTTTAGGGCCTTGGGTCCTCTATTGCCCTAACTTCTACACAGTTGGATAGAACTCTAAAGAGAAAGTAGGAAGCATTAAGTCTTGTTCTCTGTGCTTTGAGGTAAGCATAAAGGTGATTTTACCTTTTGGAAAGAAAACTCTGAAGTGTTACTATTAAAAACTCTTCATCATTTCCAGTGTCTTGTTTTTAGAAAGTAATGTGATTCCGAGCCTGAGCTGGAATATGTCCATAAAGAAAAGTTTTCTGTTTTTACCCATTTCCGATACCATTGTAACTCTAGCTTGTGAGAATTGTGGAAAATTTTATGGAAAGCAAAAACAGAGTTGTATGAAGAGACTAACTTATAACTTAGGTCCTTGTAAAAAAATCTTTCAAATTCGTCCCTTTCTATCCCAGTGCTCCAGCACCCTCTTTCTGCAAAGTGTCATTCAGTATGAATTTCTATACCTGATTCAGATAAAAAACTGGTCTGATTAGCACTTGAGTACATTCAGTTGTAAATGAATCTCAGCTGGATGAGCTGAAAGTTTATTTCTTAAATCCAGTCTCATTGGGGGAATGTAGGTAGCCTGGAGACTTGGAAACAATACTGTTTTCTACTATTTCGTATTTCTCATGAGTAGGGTTGCAGGTATGATTATGTGATGACTCATTGATCTACTGAAGTGTATTGCCCATTTTTAATATTTCTCTGAAAAATATTTGTTTCACATGATTCACTTTATAAAACTTTTAGAGCATGGCTTGTCACTTAATCTCATATTATGACCATATATGGTGGATAGTGTTCATTTTTTGGTACCTTGTTTAAAATTGTGTGTCAGTAACTTGTCTTTTGATGTAAAAGCTAGCACTTGATAAATTGTGAACAACTCCAAGACGACCTTGTGTTTACATTTCTAGCACCTTGCTATTATCTGGCACATCCTTGGTGTTTAATAAATAACAGTTAATGAAGTTAATGCATGCTTTCTTTAAATTAGCCACTGTGGGAAATTAGAAAGAAAAATACGACTGTTGTCCTATTACAGCTCTTCGTTTTAATTTTTTTTTTTTTTACCAATTTTAGGGTTTACAAGTCAGTGTTTAATGTAATTGAAATTATTGCATGGCTACTATCTTTTATTTTTTAAGTATTTTATGTAAATATTTTTCTGTTATGTTAATGGTTGAGTGAAATTCCATGGAATCAATATACTATAATATAGTGGCCATTCCTCTCTAGTGAACAATTAGATTCTTTTCAAGAGTGTTTGTGTTTTTGTGTTAATGCTGTAAAGGACATCTTTGTGCACATGTCTTCTATCTTTTTAAAAATGATGTCCTGGGCTTCCCTGGTGGCGCAGTCGTTGGGAGTCTGCCTGCCAATGCAGCGGACATGGGTTCGAGCCCTGGTCCAGGAAGATCCCACATGCTGTGGAGCAACTAAGCCTGTGCACCACAACTACTGAGCCTGCTCTCTAGAGCCCACAAGCCACAGCTATTGAGCCTGAGTGCCACAACTACTGAAGCCCGCGCACCTAGAGCCTGTGCTCTGCAACAAGAGAAGCCACCCAATGGTAAGCCCGTGCACCGCAACAAAGAGTAGCCCTGCTCGCCGCAACTAGAGAAAAGCCCGCATACAGCAACAAAGACCCAACGCAGCCAAAAATAAAAATAGAAATAAATAAATTAAAAAAAAAGAAAAAAAATGATGTCCTATGATAAAATCTCTTGGACTGGTATTTCAAAAAGAGTATGAAATTTTATATTCTTGCCATCATATTGACAGTGTTTTTTTGGCCTTCTACTGTGCTTTAATGTTTATTTCTTAAATTAGCTTGAAATGATATAAAAATTCATTAATATGTATTTAATCATTGCCAGTTATTAAATTGACCATAAGACCATAAGGATATATGATTGCAGAGTTGAAGGGATCTTTTTGCCTAAATAAGGAGCAATATGGTTTTGAAAGTCTTTTTTTTTTTTTTTTTAAATATAATTATTTATTTATTTTTGCCTGTGTTGGGTCTTCATCACTGCACGCAGGCTTTCTCTAGTTGCAGTGAGCAGGGGCTGCTCTTCGTTGGAGTACGCGGGCTTCTCACTGCGATGGCTTCTCTTGCTGCGGAGCACAGGTTCTAGGCGCGCGGGGGGCTTCAGTAGTTGTGGCGCACAGGCTTAGTTGCTCCGCGGCATGTGGGATCTTCCTGGACCAGGGCTCGAACCCATGTCCCCTGCATTGGCAGGCGGATTCTTAACCACTGCGCCACCAGGGAAGTCCCTGAAAGTCTTCTTCTTTCAGAAAAGTAATATATGTAGTGAGACTACCATGATTGCATGGAAAGAACATTGGTATCCTGGATTTAAGTCCTGCCTTGACCTAACTAATTATGTGATTTTGGGCAAGGCACTGAGCTTCTCTGAGCCTCTGTGTGTACTAACACAAAATTGAAAATTAACACCCAACTGAGGTTATGTATATGTAACATGGAGATAGTGAGTTTGTAAATCAGGTCATGTCAATCATTTGATCAAAACTCTGTAAGACCTCCCAGTTCACTTAGTAAAATCCAGGGTCCTTTAGTGGACTCTGGCTTGATTTCTTCCTGTTTTCTCTCTTATTCACTGTGGTTTCAACCATGTTAGCCTCCTTACTATTTTTGTAACATGCCAGGTCTGATTCTCTCTTAGGAACTTGGCACTGGTTTATCCCTCTGCCTAAAACACTCCTCTATGAGATATCTGCATGGCTGACTCTCTTACCTCTCCTTTAATTCTTTGCTCAGTGTCACCTTAATGAGGCTTATGCGACCACCATATTGAAAACTGTAGCCCTTACTAAACATTCTAAACATCCTTTCCTTACATTTTTTTTTCCTAAACATCCTTTCCTTACTTTTTTTTTTTGCAGAGCATTTATATACCTTTTGTATTAGTAACTTATTTATTATGTCTTTATTTATTGTCCAGCTCCCCTCACTGGGATATAGGCTTCAGAAAGGCAAGCATCTTTGTTTTACATACATTCATATATCCCAAGTACCAGGAAGCAAAGTCTTATGTAGAATGGGTATTCTATCAATATTTGTTAAAAAAAAAAAAATTTGTTGAATATTGGAGGCAATTAGTGATAACAGACTTTGTACGTGCTTCCAGAGAAGTTTCTCGACATTCATAAGTAACTACAGTAATGTGTTTGTATATTATTTTTGTACACAAAAGTATTGTACTATATAAATGATTTTCACTTAATATATTTTGGAGATTGTAATTTATTTTTAAATCTTTACATTGCTTTTTGAATTTCATTGTTTTAGATATACAATAATTTATTTCATTGATCTCAAGAATTATAAACGGTCTGAGATTTTAGCCTACTTGCAAGGTAACTGATTAGCTTGTCACAGTTTTGTGGATGCTCACAGAAGACACAGGACTGCTGGGTCAGAGACAGAAACTTTATTTTTCACAGCAGTAGTAGTAGCCAGGGTATTAGCATTTTCTCATGGCAGTTTCCTGAGCCTCAGGTCCTGCAGGGCAACTCAGAGAGGGCCAAGCGATGCCTCTGCTCGCAGTGTGGAACTCTGAGTTCAGGGGAACCCAATATTTTCTAATGGTTAATAAGCATGCCTACATCTCTGCTCTGGAGAGAGATACTATTTCTCTCTCCCAAAGCCATCTACTATATAAACATCCTTGAAAAGATAATACATAAAAAAGGTAGCCAATGCCTCTACATGGGAGACATGTAGAAACATGAAAGACTCACAGAGAATTATCTCCTGACAGTTGCCCACTATTGATGGGCATTTAGATTGTGTCTAAGTTTTTGCTCTTATTAACATTGCTGCAGTGAATTATCTGTAATACATCATTTCTTATATTTCATGAGCTGGAATTACTGTGTTGGAGGATGTGTACGTTTTAATTTTTGATAAATATTGCCAAATTGCCAACCATAGAGTTGGTACCAATTTAGAGTTCACCACGGATTATGAAAAATCCTCTTTCCATTTGACACTGATGCAGCAGTGTCACATCGATCTTCTGTGATGTCATTTTCATTAATTCGATGTTATTCAATTTTTATCTTTTTTGTGTTTACTTTTAAAGTTACTCTTTTCAGGGGTGTCCATGAAAAATTAGTACTTGCTAATGTTTTTTGAGTACTTATTATGTATCAGATACTGTACTCATTATCTCATTTTGCCTATACAATACATTGAGGACGTTAGGTTTTATTTAAATTTTTATCTTTACACTTAAGATAATAAAGTTGTAATTATCAATAGTTTAGTGAGCTATTCTAATAGTTTATGTTTTACAGATTCAAGAGGAAGAGTGTCCAACAAGAGATGACTTCAGTGATGCAGACCAGCTCAGAGTGGGTAATGATGGGATTTTCATGCTGGCGTTTTTCAGTAAGTGAAAACTGAAACTATTTCCAAACTATTTTTTTGCATTTATTGGTTGTGTATGTATTTAAAGTAACATCGACAGTGAGGGAAGGCAGATACTGTCAGTGTGTATCTTACCTTGTTTAAAATGTAAATTGATCTTGACATTTAACTAGCTGTGATCATACGATACAAATCCTAGAATTTGTTAAACGCTTATCAGGTAACTTTGTATTGCAGTTATTATGCTAGATGCTGACTGTATAGAGATATATATAAGCATATTTAAAGCTAAATATGTTTTTGTATGTGAAATGCTGCATGTCCATTTGGGGCTATAGGAGCATGTATAATGAAATGATAAATTCTGCTTTTGGAGCAGAGGACTTCCACTTGAGTGTCTTTAAACAGGAGGAAGGGTTGGAAAAGGAGATATTCTGGGGAACTGGAACAATGTGATTTGAGACACAGGAGTATGAAGGTCTGTCTTATTTGTGCGGAATGGCGAGTAATTAGAAGACCGGAAACCGTAAAACTTTAACTTTTTGCAACATTCTTAAATTAACATTTGACTTTATAAAGTAGACTTAAGCTACTTGTGGAAAGACTTCATTAGAGTCTTCATTATTTCAGTTCCTATCTCAGGAATGGCACATAGTACACTCAGTACATAATATTATGGCACTCAAACTGTAAATTGATAAAATAATGTTTGGAAACCCAGTATTCAACTAAGTACATTTATTAGATTATGGTAGGGTTAATTTCTGCCCTCAACCTGGTTAAATGACCACGCTTTCATACCTTCTGTGATAGAATGCTGATTTAATTTATTTCAGCTGTAGAGTTAATTTTGAAGCTAGAACTGAGGAATGTTTTACCTATGTAAAGTACCACATTCAACTTTAATAACAGACAAAAAAAAATAGACAAAATAGAAAATACATACTTCCTAAGTTGAGTTACTTTTGAGTCTGAAAATTCCCTTACCTTTTCCTCCATTTTCAAATGGTTTCTTGCTTCCTTTCCTTATTTCATTTCATCTACTGGAGAATAGTAGTTGAACCGCTCAGAAATGTGTGTGTGGATGGGCAGGCAGTTACATTTTTCTCTTCAGATTTACTAAATTGTATTCAGGTTGGCAATCAGCTAATGTATATGCAATTTTTTTTTTTTTTTTATGTTGTACGTGGGCCTCTCACCGTTGTGACCTCTCCCGTTGCGGAGCACAGGCTCCGGACGCGCAGGCCCAGCGGCCATGGCCCACGGGCCCAGCCGCTCCACGGCATGCAGGATCTTCCTGGACCGGGGCACGAACCTGCGTCCCCTGCATCGGCAGGTGGACTCTCAACCACTGCGCCACCAGGGGAGCTCCCTGTATATGAAATATTTATGTCTTGTGGTTTTAGTTATAATTTGTAGTTAGATATGATGTTAAGTATGATGAAAAGGAAATGAACACTTTGGCTACAAATAACTCTGTTTTGTACTGTTAGTCTAGTGAACTTTAATTTTTTTCTTAGTTTAAGTTCAACCTGGTAACCTTTATATTAATAACAGGCTTCCCACATATTTTCTTTACAAAAAGAGTAGCATAAACATTAATTCCTTTTATGGTTGCCTTTTAAGAAATCTTCATTGGAAAAAGAAAGAATTTAAATTTATTGTAGTTATTTGTAGTTAGTATAAATACCTGTTTCTTAGGAATAAAAACATGTTATTTGACACCATCTAATTATTTGACTCAGAGCTTAGTTATTATCTCTCCATTTCTATATTTCACTTAACCATGCTATCTTCTTATCAATCTTTATTTTTTAGATCTGACAGCATTTCACTGATACACCAGTGTTGTAAATGCACAGTAACCTAGGCACAAAAATAAGGTTGACCTTATTTTTGGCCACTGGTGCTACATTAATTAATATGAATATAAATATTTACATTTAATATATTAATGTAAATTACCTGCCTTTTATTACATTTTTACTAAATTCTGTTTCTACAGTTTATATCTTTATGCTTCCTATTCTACAAATACTGCACCAGTATTATAAGAGTAAGATTATAAATTATTTTTCACCTTCATTTCCTGATACATTTCTTTGGGTAGGGTGTAGGCCAGTACTTCAGTTTATTTGCTTTAATGAGCATAGATTTATTTGTAGTCACTACCATCTAGTGGCTGTTCTACAAATTGCAACTTGCTATATTTTCCAAACTCTAAACTATCCAGTAGCTATTGTCTATGTTCTGTTCTGTTGTCTATTTCTAAGGTCTGGAAATAGATTTTCTTTAGCGTGGTTTATAATTTAAGCATTTCAGGTTATACAAGTTGTGCAAATAAAACTGCAGTGATTATCAATAAGAATATTTCAGTTAAAACCTTTTGTTGGTTTAATTCTTTCCTTCTCTGTTTTCAATGTCTACAATTCAGTCTCTTACCACATGTAACCCTAAAAAAAAGTTTACGCGTAAATTTGGTGAGATAATTGCTTGTCCATGTTCAGAAAATGTAAAGAACGAAACGTGTGTATCCCCTGATAATGTTTTGCTTCTCCTAATCCCTTGAAGTGTCACTGAAAAATGCCTTATGTGTGCCTTATGTGCTTGTATCTGAGCATACTTTTAAGAGATTTTGTCTCTAAAAGAATCAGTTATATGTTAGTTAAAAGCTAGAAATTAAGGTTTGGTTCGTTCGATAATTGACGTTCTGTGGAAATGACCTTGAACTCTAATGCTTAAAAATGTAATGGATTCTGTTTAGAAAACTTTTCTAAGGTTTAGCCTTTTGTACTGTGTGTGAATCTTCACGTCAGCATGCTATAGTAATAATTAATCACCGGCATTATTCCCATTTTAGACTTGAGGGAAACATAATTTAAAAGATATTAAGTTACTTGTACGTAACTTTAAAAAGAATTAGAAAGGTGTTTTGAAACGTGAATTCTGATTTGTAAGAAATTGCCGAACTGTCTTTCAGTTCTGTTCTGCATTCCTACCAGCAGTGAATGAAAGTTCCTATTGGTCTGATCCTCGTCAGCATTTAGTATTAACAGTTTTAAAAGTTTTAGAAATCTAGGGCTTCCCTGGTGGCGCAGTGGTTGAGAGACCGCCTGCCGATGCAGGGGATATGGGTACGTGCCGCGGAGCGGCTGGGCCCGTGAGCCATTGCCGCTGAGCCTGTGCCGCTGAGCCATTGCCGCGCGTCCGGAGCCTGTGCTCCGCAACGGGAGAGGCCACAACAGTGAGAGGCCCGGGTACCACAGAAAAAAAAAAAAATTTTAGAAATCTAATAGTTGTGTGGTAGTATCTCTTTGTGATTTAATTTGCATTTCCCCAACGATTAGTGATCTTGAGCATCTTTATTCAGTAAATTCTTTCAAGTACCTACCATGGATGAATCATAAAAGTGACAGTTCTTAGAGGGGTTATCTGGGCACTACACATTGAAAAACAATGCATTGATGACTTATTCTGTTCATGTAAAGCTATGTTTTTAGATGAGGTCACATACTGTAAGTGAATCCAGAAAGGGGGGACATCTAAGATTTATAACTACACCTTAAGAAACTCATATTTGTGAACATTTTATTGAATTTGTTCTGTTTATAAGAAAAATAATCTTGTCATTTCATTGCTTATAATTTAGTGGAAATGTCTTAAAATTAATAAATTGTTAGCTTCATGTTTTTCTCAATGGCTGATAGTTTAAACAAAGAGAATTGCATGAGGATAAGATAGGAATTTGCCTTTATGCAGTTCAGAATCAAGTATAGTGAAACTGATTATTCTTTGGGAACTTACTGTGTTTGAAACCTGGTGCATTTATATATAATGAGGATTTTTCTGTGATAAAAAATTTAATAAGTGCTTAATGTTAGTATATTGGTATTCATTCATTTATGATACTCATTTGTTTATTTTCAAAGCAAGTATCAAAATTTAATTTAAAACTTTTTAAACTTTTCATTTTGAAATAATTTTAAATTTAGGAAAAAATTGCAAAAATAGTACAATTGCCATATAACTTTCATTTTCCAAGTGTTAACGTATGTAACTTCAGTCCAATGATCAACATTAGGAAATTAACATTACAAAATACTACTAACTAGTTTGTAGACCTTATTCACATTTTGCCAGTTGTCCCACTGATGTCCTTTTCTTGATCTAGGATCTATTTCAGGATTACACATTATATTAGTTTCTGTGTTTCCTTAGTCTGCCTCAACCTGGAACAGTTTCTTAGTCTTTCTTTGTTTCATAACAACTTTGATTCTTCTGAAGAACACTGGTCAGTTATTTTGTAGCATGTCTTTCAGTTAGGATTTAGCTCATGTTTCCTCATGATTAGATTCAGGTTTTGCATTTATTTCCTTTTTTTTCTTTTTTCCCCCTCAAGAATACCACAGAAATGATGTGTTCTTTTCAGTACATCAAATCAGAAGCAATGATCTAGATATGTCTTATTACTAGTGATGTTAACTCTCGTCAGGTTAAGGTAGTGTCCGCCAGCTTTCTTCACTATGAAGTTACTCTTTTCCCCTTTATTATTAATAAGTATCTTGTGGCTATTGAAAATTTTAAAGTGTAGCCTTACTAGTTAATGGATAAACTACAGTGTACAATATTGCTTTCTAGATTATTCTGCTAACCTCTTTGGGTAGGTGGGAGGTGTATATAATGAAAAGATCACTGGATATAGGCATAAAAGACGTGGATGCTCCAGTCCCAGCTATGCTTCTTACTTGGCTTGTGACTTTGTGTGGAGCCTACCTGTTCTCAGTCTTAACTTGTCCTTCTGTTCTTGTCTTCTTTCTTAGGCATGTATATGTTCACCTGCCTCTACTACACATTATTTGTTTTATGGATTTTACATACTTAAGGTTTAGTGTACAATTTATTAAATTCTCTTTTTTGACAACTGAGGCAGACATGTCCTAGAGGATCCAGAATTGAATGCTTTGCTCTTTCTGTACTGTAAAGACCTCTTCAGCTTTACTTCTATTTTATAGGCCAAGGGGCATAAAAAGTGAATCTATTTATGCTTCAGTAGTCACAACTTCTCTGTTTTCCTAGTGCTTAAACCAATTAAAGATGATTAAGTTATGCATTTGTCTATTCAGGCTGCCATAACGAAAAAGCACAGTCTGGGTGGCTTAAACAATGAAAATTTATTTTCTCACAGTTCTGGAGGGTAGAAGTCCAAGATTAAGGTGCCAGAAAATTTGGTTTCTGGTGAGGGTTCTCTTTGGGCCTGCAGTTGGCTGTCTTCTTGTGGTGTCCTCACATGACCTCTTCTCTACATGTGTGCAGAGAGAGAGAGCGCTTTCTCGTGTCTATTCCTCTTCCTATAAGGACACCAATCCTATTGTATTAGGGCTTCACCCTTATAACCTTATTTAAGTTTAGCCACCTCCCCAAAGGCACCATCTCTAAGTACAGTCACACTGGAGGTCAGGGCTTTAATCTACGAATTTTGAGGGGACAGAGTTCAGTCTATAACAAATTATATCACATGAGCACAATTTATAGGAATTCATACTGCTGGCGGAGAGCATAAAGAAAACATGGTGGCTCATTAACTACTTTTTTGTTCTTTTGAATCTTATTTCTCTTTTGGCTACAATGATACATATAATAGATATCGGTAAATCTGATTTTGAAGAAATTGGACAGTGTTTAAATTATTTTTTCCCCAAAGCTAAACGTACACATACTCAGGTGAAAATACACTTTTGGAATGTTTTGCTGTTTTGGGTTTTCTCCATCAGTGCCTCCTATGTTTCAACAACATGACATGCTTGCAAAATGATAGAATGTTTATAGCACACTGAGATAAAAGGGTAAGGTGCTCAGGACTGGTGGCAGTCTGTCCTCTGCCCCAGACCTCACCTGCCTGCCCTAAGGGCTAAGGAGAGACATATCTCAGCCTGTCATTAACACATAGGTAGCAACCAGTTGGGAATCTCTGCTGCTGTTTGGTAATATAAATTCTTTAGTTTAAATAGATATAAAATTATTTTTTGTTATGTGCTTTCCCTAACCTAACACAAATATTAGCCAGTTTGATACAGAGTGGCTATGTGCAATAGATTATTCTACAGTGATGGAAATATCCTATCTCTGTTGTACAGTACGGTAGAGAGTAAACAAGCTTTATTTATAGTAGTGTCTCTTGAAATTGTTTTGCAGGAAAGATGGGACCTAGTCTGTAATGTGAAGAGATCATTTTGTATGGGTAGTGATGATGGCTAGCATTTTTTTAGCAGTCACCGTGTGCCAGCTTCTGTACTATGCTTAAACTCTTTACATTCTCACTTAATCCTCTTATCAATCTTGTGAAGTAGGTACTTAAAGATCAGAGGACTGTGGCTCAACAGAAGTCAGCAATGAGTCCAAGGTCATATATCTAGTGAGTGAGTACGATGTGACTCAAACACGAGCCTCTTATTTCAAAATTGATTTTTCTGACTATCACACCATATAGTACAGTTTCCCATAAATGATCAAAAAAGCTGCGACTAGAAAGTATTAGGAAGGAAGAAATTAACAGGAGTAGGGCATTACTTGGAAGAAATAGCCATTTCATTTAAACTTATCCTAAAATGTTTCCTCTTTGTCTTTAGAATTCTGAAAAACTAGAATTTCTCTAGGTAATTTACTTTATTCTCCCTGAGGCTTGGTTGGAGATATTTAGGGTAAGAGGCTGGGCACTGAACAAGATTTAGGTTCAAATTGATCTTTAGTTTTATTATTATTACTATTATTATTTTGATGATGTTGCTGTCTTGGACGTAAATAAGGTACTCTGATTATATCTCAAGGACCTATGTCAGAATGGTTTCTGCTATGAGAAATAGAAAACCCTTACTCAACTGTTTTAAATAGCTAGGAGATTATCTCACAAAATAAGAAGTCCCTGGATGAGCAGACCTCAGGCACAGACCATATCAGTGCTGTGGCTCTGCTTTGCTTTACTTCGGTTTTCTTCACTCCCCCACTATTTGGAGTGATGGTTTAATCCTCAGGCTGATAGCAAGCTCCCTGCAGCAGTTCCAGGCATTACAGTTAAACGTGATACCCAGTGGAAGAAGGGCCTTTTCTTCTATTCTTTTTAAAAAACTTTCATTGTAGAAATTCTCAAACTAGACAAGAGTGTAATAAACATCTGTGTATCCATCTCCCAGCTTCAACAATGATCAATTCAAAACCACTGTTGTTTTACCTATATTCCATCTTCCCTCTCCTTGCTGTGTTTTTAAGAATGTTTTTCAGAAGTCCTATTTAAAAAAAATTCACTGGCAAGGGATTTGGGCCTTCTGTGATTTTTCCCAGAAGTATGGGGTCCAGCCTTTCCTAAAAATACAGGCTCTAGAGGTCGGTGGGTTTCTGGGAAGGGGAACAACAGGTTTTGTTAGGTAAGAAGAAAAGGCAATGAACAGTATCTGCGTTGGGAACAATAGTTTATAATTTATTCGGCTCATCTTTAATATTGCTTTTTAATTTGGCTGGCTGATGATGTCTTAGACTAGACTTTTTGGGTAGGATCGAATGGGAGCTACATTGTGACCTAATTTTTAACTGGCTTAAAAATGCAGCTTCAATAACAAATGTATGTATAAAAGAAAAAAAAAATGCAGTTTCACCTTTTGGTGATAAGCTGTAAGGTATTGATTCTTGTTGACCAAACTGACAAGAAACCAAGCTTACCCACTTGTTAATGTATAGTAAATAACTAATACATTTGCAAAAGGTAAACTATAGTCTATAAACAAGACTTAATTAGTACAGAATTAAGAGAAAGAACTGCTGTTTCCACTAAGTTATGAAGTATTATTGATGTTTATATTATGTCTCTGTTAATTTGTTTCCAAAGTGTGGTCTTTAAAAGGATTATTTCTCTTGCTTTCAGTGGCATTTATTTTCAACTGGCTTGGATTTTGTTTATCCTTCTGTATCACCAATACCATAGCTGGAAGGTATGGTGCCATCTGTGGATTTGGCCTTTCATTGATCAAATGGATCCTTATTGTCAGGGTGAGTGTCTTGATAGCCTCGATCACATTTGTCTCTAAAATTAAAATACATAAAATTTCCTATGTGGTTCACAAATGTTCATTTTGTGTATATGAGCTCAATTATTTTGAGACTTATTCTTAACTTCTATCCTTAACTATCATAGTGATCTCTGTGGTGTGGACATTTTATGACTGTATTATATGAGAGCTTGTTAGTATGTGGAAAGAAATTTTTGTTTGTTTGTTTTTAATTAATTAATTAATTAATTTTTGGCTGCGTTGGGTCTTTGTTGCTGCCTGAGGGCTTTCTCTAGTTGTGGTGAGCGGGGGCTACTCTTTGTTGCGGTGCGTGGGCTTCTCCTTGCGGTGGCTTCTCTTGTTGCGGAGCATGGGCTTTAGGCGCGTAGTTGTGGCTCGCTGGCTCTAGAGCGCAGGCTCAGTAGTTGTGGCACACGGGCTTAGTTGCTCCGCGGCATGTGGGATCATCCCGGACCAGGGCTCGAACCCGTGTCCCCTGCATTGGCAGGCGGATTCTTAACCACTGCGCCACCAGGGAAGCCTCAGTAAGTGGAAAGGACTTTGAAATCAGATAAATCTGAGTTTGAATCTCATCTTTTTGTATATCAGTGTTCTAAATTTAAGTTTTTAAATTGTTCTGAGCATTAGTTTCTTCATGGTAAGCTGATAATAGCTGCCATTCAGTATTTTTGTGAGGCATGAACATGACATATTGAGAGTACCTTGCTCAGTTGCTGCACAAGTATATGTGCTCAGTAAATCTTGGCTGCCACTATTGTGATATAGTGTAGGTCTGCCTAAAATCAGTTTTAAAACATAAAAATTTCCATTGGTTAGTGAAATTATCATGGACTTAAATATCTTCTCACTGTTTCTTTTTTATTTTTATTTTTTCTTTTTTGGTAACATTAAGAGCTAAAAAAGTACAGTACAGGCCTGTGAGGTGGTTACGAGAACTCATCTTTTTTTCCTTTACATTCCTTCTAAGCCTTTCTTCTCATTTTCCTGTTGTTCCTGGAAATCACCCTCTATCTATCTCGTATCATTTACGAGGTAGTGTGTAGGGAGATAACAAGAAGTCCTTTTCTTTCTCCTATCTCAACAGCTTTTCTAGCCCCCGAATAATTTTTTGTACCCGTTGTATAGGCAGTAGTATTGTTAACATAATCTTCCCCCAGCTCTTTTCCTTTGCCTCTTGAAGGCCCCTTTTGGCTCCTTTTTACAAAGCTTTTCTCCTGATTTCTTTAGGTAAGGCTAGGAAAGTGGCTTTGTTAATTAATAACTCTTCTTAAAAGTTACCCACACATTTAAATGCTATATACAACTAATAAAATATATACTTTCTACAAGTCATATATATTTAAACATTGATTTCTAGTTGAATGAGTCAAGTCCTCCTGAAATTTTCAGTAGAATCATATACTAATATGTCGGCTTTTATTAAGTGCTTCACACACTTCAGTTATGCACCTACATTGTCAAATAGATTAAAAATTACCCATTATAAAAATATTAAAACTTTGAATTTTATGTGTTTCTTCATTATTTTTAAACTTATTTTATTACTTCCCAGGGTTTCAGTAATCTTCTCATACCCTGTCTCTGTTCAGACTAGATTATAGGATTTGGTTATTAAACAGTTGATTCTTGGTGGGACCTGTGGACTGGCTTCTTCTAAGGTGATTAAAACCTGAGCCATTGTAAGAACTGCCCCCCTGGCAATTACTTGTTTCAGTTTCATTTAAAAAATGTAGAGTGGGTTCCCACCATTAGCATAAATCTGTTAGGTGTTATGGGGCATGCAGAGATAAAGAGACAGCCCCTGCCTTTGCAGAAGTTATTACTAGAAAATCTCGAAAGAGTTGGAACTAGGTAATGTCCAACCTTGGTTATGTTAGTAATAGAATTAATTACAATTTTTCAAATGAGATTTCTTGTCTAAGTCACAGAACACAGAAAATGATTTGATTTTCTCAATTCTCCTAAAGTTATTGAATTGCTAGTATCATTCTACATTCATAAAAAAGAAATTAGTGCATTATATGCAACCTTTGCCTCTAGGATTTTAGGGCCTAATTCTCTCTTAGAATCCCAGGTTGAGAAGGGGTTAGATTGTCTAGTAATCAACTCCAGTCAGTGTGATAAGATGGGGACCTTAAATTCAAAGACTGGAGTTTCTCAACGTTTTGTAAGGTATATAAGAGCGTCAAGTTTAATCACTGGGACTGTTGAGTTTCCTTTTAAAATACCTTTACTGAGTTAAGGTTAATATTATACCTGTAGTGTATATTGAGAATTGATATAAGAGAAGGATTTTAAAAAATCTTTTGTTGTAGGGCTTCCCTGGTGGCGCAGTGGTTGAGAGTCCGCCTGCCAATGCAGGGGACACGGGTTCATGCCCCGGTCCGGGAGGATCCCGCATGCCGCGGAGCGGCTGGGCCCGTGAGCCATGGCCGCTGAGCCTGCGCGTCTGGAGCCTGTGCTCCGCAGTGGGAAAGGCCACAACAGTGAGAGGCCCGCGTACCAAAAAAAAAAAATCTTTTGTTATAAAATAACAGTAGCCACCATTCAGTGAGCACTTACTATGTTCCAGGCATAATTCATTACAGGCACTAAATTCTTTAACCCTGTCTGTATCAGTGATGCTGGAGACAAGCCAGCCATTTTATTGATGATGAAACTAAGAATAAAAAGTCTAATAACTTGCTCAGTGTCCCACAGTTTGTATGTGGATTTGAATCTAGCTTGATTTCAGTTCAGTGCCTGTTCTCCTAATTCTCTACTGCCTCTGTAACACTGTACTTTGACTTTTATTATAATGCTTAAGGCAATAAGTTTCCCTTGTAGTTCAATGCTGAGAGAAAGGTTTTCTCCTGAAAGCCTGGTGTTTCCTTTTATTAGATAATAAGCAATTTATAAATTAACTGCTGCTTTTCTTTTTGTTTCTGAGCTGCTGCGAACCTCATATTTAGTGTAAATATCTTTAGCCCAGGTACTGATATTAATTTTAAGGCTTTTGATGTTTCTATTATTTGTTTTAAAAGGCATATATATTTTATTAAAAACTGACAAGTCTTTTAGAAAGTAGACAGGATGTAAACAATAAAATACTGGTGTCATATTAATAAAATAAAATCAGATGAATTCTTTTTTTTCAAATTTAAATCAGATAAATTCTTACTGTTGGTTAATTTATTTTCCAAAATTTGATTTCTGCAGCCTGCGGTTGACCAGTTAACATGAGTTATTTAGTTATTTTAAAAAAACCAAAAACACTGCTTGGCTCAGCCCTATGACTTTTAGTATTTTGAAACACTTGACAACTTAGTAATGAGCCCAAAAGCTTATTAGTTTATCCTTTTTACATGGTGAGTTTTTCTCTTTGACTTCAAAGTGAAGGTAATTCTATTCTTCACTTGGGAATAAATAAAGAATAGCTGCAGGTTCGTAGTTTTGGTGAAGAATGACATTGTTCTTTTCTGGTTGCCTCTTGTCGGGTAATATTATATATTAAATATATTTTAAATATTAGAAATATATATTTTAAAATATATTTAAAAATTAGAAAGTTAAAAATGTATTGCTTAGGTTCTTTATTCCTTTTGTTCTTATAATCTCTAAAACCTGTATGAAAACCTTTTATTTCTAATTATTAATCATTTGATTAAAAAGTAGTGTAGTGCTTTCCTACTTTACAAGCTATATATATTTCCACAATTTTCTAGTTCTCCCTTTATTGTACATATTTTAAAGGTGTAGGAGTATGTGGGATTTGCATCTATGATGGTACTCTGAAATCTCTAATCTTTGTAATTTCTAAAACTCTAAACTGAGAACTTAGATCATGGTTCATATATTGTAAATACTTCCTGTGAGAATAATTTGAAAGCTTTTAAAAACAGATTTAGATAACCTTTAGTGGATATACTTCCTCACTAGTAACATTGCAATTTGTAAGCATTTTTGTTATAACCACACCTATAAGATTTTTAAGCTTTTATGGAAATTACCAATGAATAGTTGGAAATAATTACCTATAAAGTTGGAGATAGATACATCTGAGGACAAATCTGCATTTAACAAACTCATTTTTAGTTAAATCAGATTCGGTTCAGAGACCAATGGAAACAGAGTAGATTAAATAAGCAGGAATATTAGACTGATTTAAAAAGAAAGCTTTTCGAAGATAATAAATCATCATGTCCCTAGTCTAATCAAGGAAAAGATACCTGTGTCCAATATCATCAAACCCTGCCTTCCGTCTGCCTATTCATATCCTCACTTCACAGAGAATATAAACTGTCTACCACGGCCACTAATAGGAACTGTTGAAATGCCGCTTCAAGGTTCATTTCGCTGTTCTCAGCTCACTGTTGGGAAATGAATGCTGGAGCATCTAGTTTGAAAATAAAAAGACTCTAATGAGTTGGGGGTCTTTATGTGCCTAGTATTCTTGGCAGTGATTAACAGTAGGGGGTGTATAGAAGGTCAAAAGCTCTTCTTTTTAGAGGTCAGCAGAACATCCCCATCTGATAAGATTAAACTAATGTGGCTTTTGGTGTTAATATCTAAAGCAGCAGGTTGCTGTAGTGTGTTTGGGATGGTAGTTGTGGCTTTGAGAGATTATGAAAAAAGAACTGACATGTGAACTCCTTAATGAGAAAATGTTGGATTCAGATATATAGCACTTATCTTTCTTCTTTACAAGCAGTTTGAAACTATTTTTTGTTTCTAAAATATTTTGCATAAGTGTGTTGCTGTTATTTTTTTCTCAAATAATTATATGTGTATGTCATTATTTTTTTCTTTTCTGTTTTTCTTTTTGTGCTGTTTTAAGTGCTAAAGATTATTTGAGGTAAATCATTCTGAAACTAAGACTTATGATTTTCAAATTTAGATACACAAATACGGTTAATATATTTATGTTCACTCCACAGTTTTCTGATTATTTTACTGGATATTTCAATGGACAGTATTGGCTTTGGTGGATATTTCTTGTACTTGGTAAGTTTATTCTTAATGCATTTCAGTATGACTAATTTGTATTTAGTTTAACTTTGATGTTTCCTAAAAATGTGAGATGTAAATATACTGTTTTATAATTTATGTGGAAAAAAGTTTTTCTGTTGTAAAATTCTCATATCCAAACACTTATATCATCTTGGCTATTCAGATAATTCTATGTAGCATTCTGGATTTCTGATTTAAAATTCAGAGCCTGTCAATTTAAAGAATCAATGGTTGAATGATAAGTCAATCCTACAAAACTTGAAAATCCTAAAATGATTAAAAAATAGTTACCTTCAGCATTTATTTTGGAAAATATACATGCATAATTTTCTTTTAATGATCGTAGGAAGTGTTGAGAGGAGGATAGTTGGATATTCTGTCCATTCTTTTATTTTTGGATCATTGAAACATTCTTTACACTTTGTAAGTGTTCCCTGCATTAATCATTAATCAGTCAGGCATAAGGAAAGGCTTCATGCCTAATGATCACAGTACTTCTGTTGAGTTTTCTTCTTACAAGGCATGTCTTTTATTAATATTGATGAATTTTATGGATTTCCGATTTCCAATCCCTTGTGTTTTCCTCTTTAGATATATGATAATTAAGTTAATCTTAAAATCACATGATACCTTTAATCCACATTTCAAATTTATTTACCGACATGAAGAATACATTTTGTTTCTTTTTAGGTTTAAGAGCCCACATTTCTCTAGTAACATAATTATACCAGAAAATAGCATTTCAGTAGGTGGCAGTGTTCTCCTTGAGTTTATATTTAGTCCTGCTGTTGCATCTTTTGGATCTTTGGGGAAACAAAATCTTAGTGGTCGGTTAAGGTCACTAAAAATCCTAGATTGTTTCTCTAATAATTATAATGAAATTATTCTAATGTTGTGATTTTGTTGGGGAGTCAGACTTGTACAAAAGTTTAGCCAGTTTTTTGTGTTGTTAATTGTTTTCTGACTGATTCTGTGCTCATTATTGAGTTTCTTCCTTAAAAGTGAAAAAATTGATAAAGTCTTTTAGGTATTTAAGCATATTGAATGAGATACTTGCTTATAAATATTATTAGCGGATTGAGGAGCCTTCGGAAGGCAACTGTGAGACAGAGTATAATGCAGAGGGCAGCCCCAGTTCCATATCAGAGCCATAATCTAGCATTTAGGGGAATGTGAAAACTTAATTCATGATCAAAATGTTCCTCTCACATAATACTCAGAAGAGTGTTGAGCACATCATAGAATGCTGAGAAACAATAGCTGCTGAGTGATCGGTTTCTAGATGTGAATTGGCTTATTTTGGAAAATGCCTGAGCAGAACAAAATATGTCTTAGAATCAGCAGCTTCATAGACAAAAGAAAGGATTTCACAAATAATTTTGGTGTACATTTTTCACAATATCATTATCTTTGAACAGCATCTGGAAGGGCATGAGGGGAGAATTCAGAGTGGGGGTCACAAGTGGAAAGAGGATATGGGAAGCAGATGGGATCAGATTTAGGTGAAACTTATACCACTTGTTTAAGTCATTATTTGTATATCTCTTCTATCTTTCCTCTCTAATTTATTATAACCATGCTTCTTATTTTAGTGCTTCGATTATTGTCTTAGAATTGGGTTACAAATTTCAGTTGAGACTTTACATTTTAAATTGACAGACTCTTCCTCCTGGTGAGGAAAGTTGCATGCGTACATATCTTTTGGTCCCTGCCCTCCCGCCCACCATTACCTAGTTAAAAATTTACTGGAGTCAATAAATGTTGCCCTTAGAATTGTATGCTTAAGTATATCAAAGACTTAGCTCTACTAATAATGGTAATGCTTTTTATACTCAGCTAATATTTTTCACCTGAAACTTTGAAGCATTTCACAGGCTTTGTTTAATTGATTACTAAAGATACCTGTGATTATTATAAATGATTATTAATGTAAATGATTATTATTTAAAAATACTATTTTACAGAGGAGAACACTGAGATAGATAGAAGATACATCTCAAATCATTTAAGAAATCACTAGTGGCTGCTTCCAAAGTCTTCTTTCTTGATTTTTCTCAACTTAATTTTTATTATAAATTAGTCTTTTATTACTTGAAAATAATAACTAATAAGTAAATTATTTACATAATGCACATATCTCTAAATACAAATCTTGCAGATGACAGGCACCTGATCTTGCTAGAAGGCTTGTTATTGGTTTTATCCCACAATTGTTAGCAATTACATGCATATGTTTTCTCTTGAATACTTTATATCAATAAATATGTCTTAGTTTGCTTAGTAGTTATAGTAATTAAAAAGTTTGGTATAAAATGGGACTTCTATGAGTTGAATCAGTTTAAATGCATTAGGTAGCTTTGCTTTTTAAGAAATAATTTAGTAAGTGTGTATTTTTGTGTAATTTTGGATTTTCGTGGCTGGATTTACTTTACTTTAGATACATCTAGGTGTAACAAATTGAAAGAATTTGGGGGTGGCAGTAAAATTTTGTTATATTTCCTTACAATAGATTTGTCATTATAATGTAAAATATATTATGGAATGACTGTAATCCTACACGTTAAATTCCTTAGACCAAGAAGATCTTGTTTATAATTGTCTATCTAAAATGTATTGTGTCCCCTTTCTGTGTAAGAACATAACATATCTGTATTATTTCAACCTTCTCAGGCCTGCTTCTTTTCTTCAGAGGATTTGTTAATTATCTAAAAGTCAGAAACATGTCTGAAAGCATGGCAGCTGCTCATAGAACAAGATATTTCTTCTTATTATAGAGGTAAGAAATATTAACATATTAATTGTTTATTCCTTTTGTATTCAAATTCACCAGATGCATATTAAATGCTTAATGTGTACTCATGTTGTTTACTCAAATTCAGCATATTTAATAGATTTTTATACTGTTAACAGTCACTTACTGAAATTTAAGAAGTTGTGAACTTTTAAGATAACTTCCATGTTAAAAATTGAATTTCATACATTTTAATTTTTAAAAATGTATTATGAGTAAACTGAAACTTTAAATCAGACTTTTAAATTTCTTTTTAAAGCTTGACCACAGGATGTATACGAAGTAACCACCAGCACAGCATTTGAAAGCTTGAAAACCAAAATATGACAAAGCACTTACACAGAGAGAGTGGGCATTTTGCATAAAACAGTGTGAAATTCACATAGATATCTGGTGGATAAAACAAACAAAAAAACAAGTCTGATTGAAAAGCAACTTGCCATGCACTGATCTTAACAAACTGGATCAATGAATAAAAGTTGTGTGAAGAAAATAGTAGCTTTGTTACTATTTTCTTAATGTGTGCCAGTTTGTATCAACAACCAAGGCTGCAACTTGAATAAATGGGAATATAAAGAAATGAGCAGAGGTTGTCTTACTGGTTATCCAGTGAGTTTCTGGAGGCTGTGTCTATAGTAAAGGCATTTATTTATTATGCAGCTAGTAGATCTTCACATGAAGAGACCTCATATCTCTACTCGCTATACTATTGATACTTTTAAAGCAAGTACCATACACTTCATTGATTTGAACTTTTAAAGTAGTTGAACCGCATAAGCAAAATGTCTACTAAAACACTTAACTTCTGGATGTATCTTTAAGTACAAAATGCTTCAAGTTGCTGTGACTTAAGTGTAAATAAATTGTATGGTTTGTGATTTGGTTGCTTATATTTTATGCTTATATGAGTTTTACATAAGCTGACATGATTTACTTATTTCTGCTAAAGAGAACAATGATTACAATTGCATTTCTGGATTATATTTAAATATCACTTTAAATGTTCCACTAAGGTTTCTTCCTCCCCCTAGAAGATGTCACATTTTCTCTTTAAGTGGTAAAATGTCTTTACAAGCAGTGACCTTAAGAGTTTGTCGGTATTACCTGTAAGATAAAAGGCAAAGTAATTTTACTAATTTAAATGATATTCTGTGAATATTCAGTGTGATTACCTTGTTTGCATTTTCAAGAGTTTAAACTCTAATGTAAATATTTTCTAGATGGTTAGAAGCCTAAACTTTAGAATATATTTTGATATATGCTACCTTATGTCATTCTTACCAAAAGGATATTATATACTTGATGTAATACTGCTTATAAGATCAGTTTTCATTATGCTGTCGTTTAGATAATTGCAACTTAATACATTTTAAGGCTAATTCTTTTTGTCCCTAGACTGCATCGACCAGACATTCCTTTCTTGTATCAATGTGAAATTTCCAGATCGTCTGTAAACCTGCAACTTTAATAAGATAGAAGACTACTAAAAGCAGAAGACAAATTAGTGAGGAAAAGATAGAGCTTCATAACTGAATGCCAGAGTGGTTTATGCTTAAAAGCCATTTCTGTCCATTCTCTTAAATATTTATATTTCATTTGTTTTGCACAGTTGCATATGTGCCCATTTAAAAGATTTGGGTATACTTGAAAGAAACCATAAAGTGGTAGCAGTAAAGTGCAGTCACATTTGATTAATCAGTGTTTGATATAATTGAAAGAGTTGAGTGATAAACAGTCTTCCAGCATGTAAATGCCATTGACTTCTGACCTGACATTTAACAATAAAAATGAAACTATTAACCATGTCAAATACTTTAGTTTCTGGCTCTTAGATTTATCTAGTAACTCTACACATGAAACATCCTTTGTTATATATAAAGTTTTTTGAAACCTGCAGTGCTGATTATTAGGCTTTGTCAGATTGTTGAACCAATATTTACATCATTATTTAGCGAGACTTTCTGTAAATAACCATGCATAAATTACTTTCTGCATCTTTTTCTTAGAAATTGTGTCTAGATAGATATCTCTTCATTAATTTTAAATTAAGTGAACTTAATATATATAGAAAATTTGGGTGTTAAAGATAGTTTTAGGACAAATTTTAAGAAAATGTGGGTATGCCCCATGTCCTTTATAAGAAAAATTTTTTTTTTTTTTTTAAAGGGACATGACAGTTTTAGGGTTTCTCAAATGAGAAGTTTGGTTTTTAGCATTGTTCATCTTAGAGATTCTTGCAGGAAGAGATTGTATTAGATATTATATTTATTTCACTTAAGACATTTTTGAAAATTAATTTTCTGAATAAGATACTCTCATTTGCATTTTGTCTTTTAAAAAGCCAATAAAAAGTATCTTTAAATATCATTGTAATATTTTTTCCTTTAGATGTTTGGTTTAATTTAGCAAATAAAAACTTGTGCTTTTAATAGCTTCTTGCTTTCTGATTGTAGGATTAACTTGTAAAAATCATTTCCTGAATTGAGATATGTGAAATATCTGTTTTCAAGTTATGGAAATGTGTCTGTGGAATATAGGGGTGTGAGTGTGTTGCGAGAGTGTGTGAATATTATTACAACTGGAATCTATTTTACATTCATAAGCTACTACATTTTACAAATCATTTTATGTCTCATCTGTTTTCTCTTCAGTTATATCTTTGCTTTTGAAATGCAACATTAAAAATGATGGGAATTATCTTTTAAACTTAAAAATCAGTTGATACAGCTATATAGAACATATAAAATATATTGCTTGTTTATTATTAGACACTGACTACTAAAAGATACATCTAAAACTATTCAGGGTCATTTTTCCATTCCTGAAAAAATAAAATTTATTACGCTTTATAACTTTTTTTGTATTTCTCTGTATTTTCTGATTTATTTCATTGTCTTTGATAAATAAAACATGTTTTGTTTTGCTAATTGAGCCTCCTATTTTCTTGTTTTCCCTCATTTATTCTCCTCCTCTGCTAGAATTTTTATTGTTTGTTAAAGTACCTGTGTTACACCCATTGAAGTAAAACAATAGCCTGGGGTAAAGAAACAAAATATTTGATTTAGTTGCCTGATTTGGAAATTAATTAAAGTTAAAATTTACTTAGAAGAAATGTGAACTCGTGCTAGGTCTCTTTATTGCACATTAATTTTCCTGTAGACCTGTACTTTGTTCTTTGTAATAGTTTTTAATGAAATTAAGCTATGATACATAGTAAGTTAAAATATCTAGATCATCTATCATACATCAATTTATTAAAATTTTATTTTTGTTTCTGTGGCGTTAATACTTAGTTTCTGCATGTGGATGTTGACCCAATGTCAAAACTTCACTTTTTGTTTTGATTTTTTTTCCCCCCAAATCTGTAAGATTCAAGTGTGATGTTACCTGATCCTCTTTAATTGGTACAATTCATTGGTAGTCTTAAATCTCATCATCCAATCAGGAGAATCAGAATATTATTTTAAAAAACAACATTCTCTTCTGGATTTATCAGATCCTACACACTTCCCCTCATTTCCTGTGAGCTTGGACAGAATAGCTGCTGTTGTGTTTTGGAGATACTTAATTGCCTTTGCACCCTGCCTTAAAGATTGAAAATCAAAATCCTTGTTAGGTCTATCTATAAACAATTTTTGAATGAGTGTGAACTGGAGCTCGGAAGTTAATACAAAAAATATATTACATTATTTCTATTATATTTGAATAAGCTAGTTATGGCCAGAAAAATCCATTTTTATGTTTTTATGAAGTAAACTGAATTTAAGGTAAAAATACATTTTCTATATAGTGTGTTCAGGATACATCTTAGAAATTAAAAGACAAGTTCTATTATAGTTGGTTAAAATGAAAATCTCTTTTTAATAGAAAAAAATACTAATCTCTAGCCTTTTGAGTCTATAAGCTATATCCCATGCCTTTGAAGTTCATAAATTTTAACCTGTTAAGATAATAATCACTAATATTTCCAGCAAAACCTCTGATGACAGGAAAAGTAGAGTTCAGAAAGTCCAGTTGGAGAAAAATTCAGGGTTTCTTAATTTAATATAATTTTTTTCAACTGGTCTATACTGTCCCCCAAAGCACAAAGGTAATGATAGTGCATCTGATACTGTATTTAACTAGAGTGACATATATATCCTGAGTTTGCTCATAACAGATCTGGTTATTCCTATTTCCTCACCTTATATAGTGCCTCCTCTCTCATAAGTGTCCTAATTTGGAGGAGAAATTATATGATCACCCTGTATATAACTCTACACTGTGCTGAGAAGTGACTGCCTAAACCCACTGCCCTTTGAGAGAAGTAACTGCAGTATTAGGGCAGGAGTCACCTAATCAGCCCTGCCTAGACACCCGTTTTTTTGGCCTGTAGAACACACATGGTACTATTTTTTTTTTCCTTTTTTTTAATTTTTAAATAGAAGTTGTATCGGAATGATTCCACTTATGGTAAATAGTAAACAGTGAGCTTTTCGTATGTTTAAACTGCTGTTAATTGTTATTTTAATTGTTTGCTATTTAATTCTTCAAATAGTCATGAAATATTAGTGTATTATATTCTAAAACCTCATTCTTGATATAAAGTTCAACTGTTAGATGATAATGTGCCATTTAGTATTGAATGTCCTTGCCCATATATAAAACATGTTTTATATGTGTTAATAAAGTTCAGTAAATGTGGAAATGTGAACCTGTCATGCATGTTTTTCAAAATCAGTTTGATTCACAATATATTATCACCACCTTGGCCTCACAAAATGTTTATATGATCAAACTTATGTTACATGAAAACAACTGGCATGGAATTAGGTTGGAGTGTGGGAACATCATTTAACTTGTCACAGTAATTTGTATGTTGGGAGATAGATTGCAGTTTAATTTTAATAAATGCAAAAGCATCAGCTTTATGAAGATAATTTATGTTTCTTTCTACTTTGCAAAAGGTTAGTCGTCACCGTAGATCAGACCTGCTTATGGGTGTGTGTTCTTATTTGGGACATATGACCTAAAATGCAACCTTCCCTAAAGTTATTTAGAAAAACAGAAAAAGCTCATTCCATACTTCGTAAAAGTTAAGCAGTTAAAAAGAAAATGTTTATTTTGAACTCAACATGTTTGCTTGTTTTCACTTTTCTTTCTTGATGTTTTCAACTTAGCTTTCTTTTTTTGTTTGTTTTTGTTTTGAGAGATTAAGCTACCTGCTTCTAAAAAACCCACTTAGTTTTCATGGAAACCATTAAAAAAAAAATTCAGCAGCTAAATAGGGAAGAGATAGGGTTATTGCCCCTTTAACAGCTGAGGTTATAGCAAGCCCAGATCACACACTGGTTCACATAATCTTGGAGGTGGTTTTCCTCTCAAGCTTGCAAAACAAAAAGAACAAACAAACCCACTTTATTACTTTTCTACCCCTTCGTGTTTGTTTTAATTAAATCAGTGCTTTACCTTTAGTGACAGCGAGAAGGGCCACAGACTATCCTTCCTTAAAGCAGTTTCTTGTCTTCTTTTAGCTTTACCAGAAGCATAGTGAGATCAGCAAGTACAACAAAAGTTTGCCCAAAGCTCAGAAGCAATCTGGAGGACTCAGAATGTGAAAAGTAACAAATAACCTTGTTGGAAAGATGAACTCTTCAGAGGTATAAGAACTGTACTTGTGCATAAATCCCTAGTGTGGAAATATGTTATTTTGTTTCCATCAAACTTAGTTTTCTCAGCCATGTAAATTCCTGCATAGTGATTTGGTTTGACTAACTATGGCATTTGGGCTGTAAACCTTTAATTCCCATTTTATTCATTCAGAGAGAAGACCTAAAGACCCTTAATTGCTAGCAAGCATTGGTGACCGCTCATTCTAATATAATAAAGTGTGAAATATCACTTCCTAAATCCAGATTTTTAAAATGATGAGACTATGGAAAGCGTCAGTTCACTGAGATTTATGAACCTTCTTTTTTCAAACGGGATAAAATCAAACAAAAGTTTAATAACATGTATACGTGGGAAAGACCCAGAAAAACTGAGTAACGCGCCAAAATGGCTGAAACCCTCACCTTAAATACCATTTTCAGCTGAGAGTTATGAACTTTTAAGAGACAGCTGGGTTGTACATATCCCTAATTCTACAGGATCTCCAGAGGTGAATTTTTGATTGAATGATTCTTTGAATATCTCTCTAGAGCTGTGATTGTTATTCAATATGGTGCATTATAGTCAACTGGGAATTGGGGGGAAATTAACATCCCAGCCTCAATTTCCAGAGGTTCCAATGCAATACATCTGCCCTGTGACAGCACATTTCCTTCCCATAGTTTGAAGTTGTGGATTTTGGTCTAGTAGTCCTGCTGATGCCTCTCTTATCATGTGTTTATATCTATCTCCTTGTGTAC